GCATCTTAGGGTCTGAAAAAGGGGAGGCAGTGTACCTAAACTCAAGGAGGGAAGAAGAGGTTAATAAGAAATTACTAGATTCTGATTAAAAAAAAAATTAGGGAATGAAGGCCCTAGGGAATGAGAAGCAGGAAAACAGTAAAACTAGAGAGAATTTCAGTAGGGAAACTATTAACCTGTTTGCTATTCCTGTTTAGCTCTCTCCTTGTATCTGTACAGCTATGTGGGTGCCTTGAGCACCTATAGGAAGACAGCTTTTTAATCCTATCAGCCTTAATTTAGAGGAATTATATTCCCTGAGAAATGTCATCAAGACTATTCTTAGAAGTGATTTCTAGGCCTAAAATTTGGTAGGGGGGGAGCTTTGGGCACCATGGATCATCTTTTATTATTGAAGATAAGCAGCTGACAACTTCTTGGAGGACTGTGTTCAGAAAACCGTAACAGTATGTAATTGGTAAATGTTACTGATAGTCAAGTGCATCTTTACTTAAATTAGGAAGGTTTTCAATAGCCTCAATATTTGGGCTTCCCTGATAGCTCAGTTGGTTAAGAGTCCACCTGCAATGCAGGAGACCCCAGTTCAATTCCTGGGTTGGGAAGGAAGATCCCCTGGAGAAGAGAAAGGCTACCCACTCCAGTATTCTTTTTTTTTTTTTCATTTATTTTTATTAGTTGGAGGCTGATTACTTTACATCATTGCAGTGGTTTTTGTCATACATTGAAATGAATTAGCCATGGATTTACATGTATTCCCCATCCCGGTCCCCCCTCCCACCTCCCTCTCCACCCGATCCCTCTGGGTCTTCCCAGTGCACCAGGCCCGAGCACTTGTCTCACGCACCCAACCTGGGCTGGTGATCTGTTTCACCCTAGATAATATACGTGTTTCGATGCTGTTCTCTTGAAACATCCCACCCTCGCCTTCTCCCAGAATCCACAAGTCTGTTCTATACATCGGAGTCTCTTTTTCTGTTTTGCATATAGGGTTATCGTTACCATCTTTCTAAATTCCATATATATGTGTTAGTATACTGTAGTGGTCTTTATCTTTCTGGCTTACTTCGCTCTGTATAATGGGCTCCAGTTTCATCCATCTCATTAGAACTGATTCAAATGAATTCTTTTTAATGGCTGAGTAATATTCCATGGTGCATATGTACCACAGCTTCCTCATCCATTCGTCTGCTGATGGGCATCTAGGTTGCTTCCATGTCCTGGCTATTATAAACAGTGCTGCGATGAACACTGGGGTGCACGTGTCTCTTTCAGATCTGGTTTCCTCGGTGTGTATGCCCAGAAGTGGGATTGCTGGGTCATATGGCAGTTCTATTTCCAGCTTTTTAAGAAATCTCCACACTGTTTTCCATAGTGGCTGTACTAATTTGCATTCCCACCAACAATGTAAGAGGGTTCCCTTTTCTCCACACCCTCTCCAGCATTTATTGCTTGTAGACTTTTGGATAGCAGCCATCCTGACTGGTGTGTAATGGTACCTCATTGTGGTTTTGATTTGCATTTCTCTCATAATGAGTGATGTTGAGCATCTTTTCATGTGTTTGTTAGCCATCTGTATGTCTTCCTTGGAGAAATGTCTGTTCAGTTCTTTGGCCCATTTTTTGATTGGGTCATTTACTTTTCTGGAGTTGAGCTGGAGGAGTTGCTTGTATATTTTTGAGATTAATCCTTTGTCTGTTGCTTCGTTTGCTATTATTTTCTCCCAATCTGAGGGCTGTCTTTTCACCTTGCTTATAGTTTCCTTTGTTGTGCAAAAGCTTTTAAGTTTCATTAGGCCACTCCAGTATTCTTGACTGGAGAATTCCAGTCCATGGGGTCGAAAAGATTTGGACACAACTGAGTGACTTCCAATAGTCTCTGTGAAGTATGATAGGTCATCAATAAGGGATCAATAAAAGAACTTCTAAAAGTTATTCATACATGTAGTTTAATAAAATCTACCAAAAAAAGAAAAAAAGGACTTTTTTAGAGTACAGGTCAGATGAACTTGGCTCTAACAACGTGAAAGTCTGATAGGGACAATCTAGTATTTTTTCTCTTAGTATTTATTTGGCTGCACGGAGTCTTAGTTTTCTGCGTGGTTCTAGTTCTCTGACCAGGGATCAAACCCAGGCCCCCTGCATTGGGTGCACAGAGTCTTAGCCACTGGGCTACCAGGGAAGTCCTGGGACAATCCAGTGTTATAACTGACAGGGGCCATCAAAGCGAACAGAGTGAGGCAGGCACTCAAGACTGATTGATTGGGAGGGAAGCTCAAGTTATTTCACCACCTTTGAGTAATACTAAGTGGTCTGTGTTTGGTAACAGCTTTATAAAAGCAGATAAAGGGAGGAGATGTGAAGCTTTTCTCTCTGGCTTATTTACTTATTTGCATTTCTGATGATAATTCAAACAAATTACCCAGCAGTAAAGAGAATAAATTAGTGATGAGACAGGTGGGTTAATTAGTCTCTGAAACCCCTGGAAAAAAAGACAACTGGGTGCATAACATGATTCCATTTATGTCGAGTTCAAAAAAAGGCAAAACTGATCTATGCAGAGTAGTGATTGCCTTGGTAGGAGGAAGGGATGGATTGGAAAGAGGCAGAAAGAAACTTTCTGTAGTGATGAAAATGTTCTGTATGTTGATGGGGATGTTAACATAATTGTATACACCAGGTAATTCATTGTTAAACTTGAGATCTGTGCATTTCTCTGTATGCAACTTTTATCTTAATAAAAAAAAATTCTTTGTGTACACATTCTGTCTGCTGGACCTTCTTTATAAGTAGTAATTACTCTTCAGAATCTAATCTTTCAAAATTTCTTTTATTCTAAAACTAAGTATATTTACCAGGAAAATAGCAAAGATGGCCATGGAGATAGTTTTTGTTTGAAGTATAACAATTTGTGTGATTTATTAGCAAACACAGAGTTCTTTAGGAGGACTGTACTGCTCAATTCAGAGGGGTGAAGTCTCAACCTAGACAGTAACAAACAAGAGTGTAAAGCAAATTCAACATGTTTCTTCCATTATGCCCGCTCTAGCTAAACTGTTGTACTAATAGAAATTATCAGTAGCCTGGCTCTTCACTAAACTCATAGAACTTTTGGTGAAAATGCCTTTTGACATGCAAATTAGGTGCATATAAATCATAAAATTACAACTTTTGTTGCTTATTCTTGTTTATTTCACTTTTAAGACTAATGTTGAGTTGAGAGGACAAATTAAATACAAATTAAATACAAAGAACCACAAAAAGATGCCATGACCATATATGACTTTTTGAAATCTTCATGCTAGCATCAAATTTTGGTTCTTTTAAAATTCGGAAAACTTAATTGTAATTTGGTCATCATTTATTCTAGATTGGGAGATAAAATTCTCCACTACAAAGCTAAAACATCCAAAGTACTAATGCTATTTTTCTGCTTTAAGATGCATTGATACAACTTTTGTATTTGACACTGGTTCTATGGGCCACAAAGTATAAAAAATAATATTGTCAGTCTTGCACACACTGCTCTGCAGTGCCTGTGTGTCGTCTGATGCCTGAATACAACATTGAGAACTGTAAAGAAAACAGATACACTCAGAGTATGACACAATATAGTAATTATAAACAAACAGACAAATCCTTCAAAAGGGAAGATGACAATTTTTATTGTTATTACAAAGGCAAATTTTTAAACTTCAGTCATTTGAATAATTGCAAGAGCAGACTAAGGGCTTAATCCTCACACAGGCACCAAGTCAGGCACAGTAGGTAGCTACAAATCATAAGAAAAAGGTTTCTTTACCTTGGATTCCCATAATTCCTACCTAGAGCAGTCTGCCATGCTTTGGAATTAGGTTAAAAACCCAGCAAACCTAATCAGTTCCCTTCAATTCTGTTTTTTAAGAAAGGAGAGCTAGGTATTAACCTGCCATCTAGTGAAAACTAGTCACTAAATCCTGGCCTGAGATAGATCCACATTTCTTCTAGAACAAAGAGAAGAAACTAGTTAATGAGGACGTGTGCCAAATGTTAAGTCCTTAAAATGCAGACCTGGGCTCAGACCTGTCACCTAACGCATGTGGGTGGTCTGGTCCCCTGAGGTGTGCAGGAGCTCCAGCTCCAGCACACTCTTCCCGGGCAGCAGGCAAGGAGGTAGCGGGGGACTTGAGCTGACAAGCACTAAGCTCATGTGCCTGGCAGAGGGGAGCCTTGGGAAGCACAATGTCATTCTGCCTTTGCTGTCCACAAACCTGAGGTTTCCACGGTACGTAGTAAAGGGCACAGTGGCATGTGTGACAAGGCAGAAAAGACTGCCACCATTCTGAGGGTCACTTAAATCCTGCCTAATTTTCTGCCTAATCAGACATGGTGCCTTTCTGCTTCTCCCTTATTTTGGAGAACACTCCAATATTCCCACACCTCCATGCCCTTAAAACACTTCTTAATAAACAACTCAGCTAGCACATTACTGTTTCAAGGAAGCATAGGATTAGAGGTATGTGAAAAGTGTATTTACTGAAGGAAGACTCAGTTATGTCCTAGGATATTGAAAATTAAGAATATCCTAGAGCCAAAACTATCGTAAGTTGAACCAAATTTACCCTATCTGAAATTTGGCAGTACATTGGTTCAAATGGAATCCACTGAACTACAGGGAAATAAAAACACTTCCTATTCCATTTACTATGAAATCTAAATAACCAACTGACTGCTAAATTTAAACCTACTAGTCTTTGAGTTGTGCACATGTTAAGTACGTTTATTTACTTAAGTTGCTGCCATGGCAAGATCTCTAGAGGAAAGAAACACGATCGTAAACGTGTTAGATGACATCTGCTACAATCATGGAAAAAATCAGCTGGAGGAAATATAAGCCATGTTATTTGGAGACAGAAAATCGTCCCCTAAATTCTGTTGATTGCTATCTACCTTATGTATGTATGTCTGTGAGAGGATTAATGGCACAGTTTATTCTGATAAGATAGGCCAACACTGAACATTTAATCATTCTACAGTCAGCGCTAGAGGGCTGTTACCAGGATTTTCACAAAGGGTTTTTAAAAGCTGAAAGTTGCTTGATGTTAAGAGCTGTAATAGAAACTTTCCTACCCAAACCAATGAACCTGTCATCCATGAAGCAGCAGTGCATAAGTCCACGTCAATGAGGAAAGGTGCCAGAGTGCTGTCAGATGGAACAGCCATCAAAGACCACGGAGTAATTACAGTCACAGCTAGTGTTTCTGAAGATTGCCAGGGAGTTTTTTTGATTTTTTTTTTCCGAAAGTTCATCATGAAAGCAGTTGTTACGCATAAGTTCACCTTTTTCTTGGGTTGCAAAACTGCAGCTGGTTGAACGCATGACCCCCAATATCTGCAGCACTTCAGCTGAGGATGCCAGTATCTGTCAAATGCATCACATTCAAAGTCCATCCTATTTTGTAAAAGTAGTTCTTATAGTTTATGTAACTAGCAGACAAGTATGAACTACCTCTTGTTACAGTGAATAACCTTATTCTTCTACAATTCACAAAGTTTTTACATTCAATTATCACATATTTCAAGACTGAATTCAAAACAAATATACATGGGCTTAATTATTCAAGAATACCTTACTATTTGTCACTTAATTTCATAGCATTATATACTCAGTCCATCTCTTTTAGTTTGATTTTACATAGATTTTCACTGGATGAATTATGTTAGCAAGTTAAAAACAAGAAACGTATCTCCCCTTCTCCCATAGTAAGAAATAAAGGTTTAAAAATGGCAATTATTTAATGTTTATTTCAATTATCTTAAGTTTATTAATTTAAAAAACTATGATTAAATAATCTAACATGAAAGCTGTATAAAGAACATCATTAATGTAAAAAGATGCAAAGAAAATTGTGATTCTAACATATCTATGCTAAAGACAGAAAAGAAAAATGTTTAGGTCTGTAATATCCTAAGTCTGTAGCCAATTACCCTGTTTTTGCATTGTCAACAATATAAACACACTTGCAGAAGACAAAATGACAGCATAGGAATCTGTATATTGCTTTTCATAGGTCTAACATCTCCCCACACTGCTAGTTCACTTCAGACACATCTGCCTGTCCAAGTAACCAGGCAGTGTAATGGAAGATTTTAAAATGCATCAAGCAAGCATTCTTCCCACAGAACTTCAAAGCCCACAAAAATGTATGGTGTTGGTTAATTTAACAGTGAGGTTTCTTCTAAATAATCTTACTCGCATAAATGTGCAAGAATCCATCAAAAGTTTTATTTCATATTTATATTTATTCTCTTTATTTTTTTAGAGGTAGGCCCTTCACAGTTGATATCCAAGTCATTTTGAGTCTTGGCAACATGCACATAATATTCTAAAAGTGTAACTGTTTTAATAGCAAACATAACTTTTTTAAAAAAATGTGTTCAATTTAAAAATGGAAATATATCTCTGGAAATATTTCAGTGACTCTTGAGCTTTTAAAGATTCATTAAAATCCAAGCAATTGCTAGTATTTTGTTCTTATTAACTTGGTAGTATAAAAAGTTATCATGTACTGATTAAAGCTCCACATATTCCAGAAAACTACAGCCCCAGATTTGCAAACAGTATAACTTAAATTTCATGCAACTTTAATAGCCATGAGTATAGTTATAGGAAACTGCAGGACAGTAACTGTGCTCTGTCCGTAAGATGTGGCCTCATTCATGAAATGAATGGGAATTTTACAGTTAAGAAAACATGATTAGATTTAATTTTTATGTTTTGTGTTTGGAAATAGAGGAGGCTTTTCTTTTCTGAGGCAGGAATATTACAGGGAAGGGACATGTCATTAGATACACAATTACAAAGTATCTTACTTAGAGATTAAGCCAATCTAAAAGAGGCTAAGTCTTCCATAAATAGCAACACTCAAAATCAAGGTGGGGCTTCCAATAAACCCAGAAAGAATCCCTGAAAGTATCCCTTCCATTTCCCATTTATTCTCATTAAAAATTTCAAAATCATGGCAGTTGTAGCAGAAAGTCAAGATTCAACCTAAAAACCACCACAATGCTGCACTCTGGGCCATCCAAATCCTAATTTAGCAAATTTCAGCATATATTTAAGAAAACAATTTTGAGTAACTGAGAAAAACATACTGTGCTTGACTCTACTTGTCATTGTTAATTTTAGTCTGTGCAGATTCTGACGGTTCTAAATATGTGTTCATTTAGTTACTGGATGAGATTTAGCTTTAACCAGCAAGGGTCATCCAGCCTTTAAAATTACTGATATAAACAATAAATAAACTGAGTAATTTGTAGAACTGGCACTTGCAATTGATACGATTTTCATACTAGTTGCATGCAGCTCTTATAAATACTAAAGGAGGCATTTTTGCCAGGTCTCAACATGCTGTCTTTATTGTAAATTCCACTAATTTAACAAGTTAATGGAATTTTTTGTAGGGGTACAATTTCATTATGCTTTATACTTCTAAAAACTACAGTATGCTGTTCCTGTGTTTTAAAACCACTTACTTTAAGAAACCATGTTAAAATAGCAATTGGCAGAAAATAACTGAGAGACCTAATAAAGCAGTGTCATAGTTGCATAAAGATATGTATGCATTAACCATCAAAAGAAGGGGTCCATCTAATTCTGTAATACAAACTTGAACATGGTTTGTAAGTGCCTCATTTAAGTAGTGGAGAGGGAAAGAGTTTAGAAAAGTCCAAGTAATAAAATGTACTCAATTACTTGGTAAAGTTAAAAAGCTAATGCAACAATGTTACATCCAGATAAAAAACAGTATTCAAAAGCAATTCAAATACCAAAAAGGGTTTCAAATTGAATATTTTATTAACATGGTAGTTGTCTTTGTAACATGTGCACACACACTCGCACACTCAGAATGATCTGCCTGGGGGAAAAAAGACTAGGTATGCCTAGGGGGAAATGAAAAATAAAAAAATTCCTGGTAGGTTTTTCATTATTGTAGGCGATTATGTCCACATCACTTACAAAGCTATTGCCAAATCTGTCCAAGGAAGCAGAGTTGAGAGGGGAAGAAAAAAATCTTGGGAAAAATTCAACAGTGGCATAGCAGAGCTCTCAATATGAGAAAGCTGACATAATGTGGACTTTTGCTGTGAATTTTGTCTTTGCAAAATGTGGGGAGAGGTTTGTCAATGGGCAGAAAATAAGAGAAGGCGGTGTGAAGTAGGCTTTTGCAGTCAATTTTCCTCACAGTATTGTGCAGGGTCATCAAGAAAATGCTTAGTCTTTCTCTGGAACCAGTTTCAGAACTTTTCCAATTGCAATGGTCTTACCTAGAAATGAAATTTTTAAGAAACCTTTTCAGTAGTTAACAGCAAGGCTATGTTAGATATTAAAACTTTATCATTATTTTACAATGTAAATTACTAATTAATACCTATGCTGAAAGTAAAGTGTGGACATATTCATACAGTGGAATTATTATTTGGCAATAAAAAGGAATGAATTATATACATATCACAGCATGGATGAACCTCAAAAACATGCTGAAATAAACTACACACTAAAGGCCACAAACTATGATTCTATTTATAAGTCATGTCCAAAAAAGTCAGGCAGAGAAAAAGTAGACAGATGGTTGCCTACAATGGCCAGAGGTAGGTAGAATAATAGTTGGTAACTTTGTAAACAGGTATTTGGGTTCCTTTTTCAGATGTTATAAATGTTACAAAATTAGGATGTAGTGATGACTATACAACTCTGAACATACTAATTCACTGAACTATATACTCCAAGCAGGTCAATTTCACGGTATATAAATTATCTCAATTAAAGCTGTTAAAAAGGGCTCTCAGACCCTATTATTAGAAATACAAAATCCATTTGGTCTTGTGAAAAACCTAAAAGCCAAACTATTCTTTAGGGAAAAAAAAAATTCTTTAGTTAAAAATTCTTGCTACATTAATTTCTAATTGGTAAATAAAATTCTAATTTTGTTATATTAATAGGAAAGCCCCAATAGCCAGTTTCACCATCATCAAGAAGACTTTTAAGATAATGATTTTACATGTATACCATCTTTATATAGTTTCCTCTGAAATAAAGCTCAGGGACCATATCCATTATATTCCTGGTGCTTGGCACAACTCCTGACATTCAGCAGATATACAGTAAAGTTTTTGCTGAATCAAATTGGAACTAATATGTGAACTGACTATTCGGTATTTCAAGTGAACCATAAAGTTTTATGTAAAGCCTTCCATAGTCTTAAAATAGTAACCTAAATTAATAATCTATAAGAGAAATGTTCTATTAAACACAAAGTCATTTTGTTTCTATGATACCAAAGTTTCATAGCTGTTTGAAATAGGAAAATTACAGCTATTCCAATTCACTCAGGCAGAAGTGGACATAAACACAAAAGAACATGAATATTAAACCTTGGAATAAATAATATTTAAAAATATAATAAAGTATTTTTATTTTAAATATATTTATAAATATTAAACCTTGAAAACATTAGGCATTAAAACTATTAATATATGTACTCCTTTATCTCCCCCCATTTCAGTGCAGTTAAAGTTTGTCTTATTGGATTTTAAAATTTTTCTGAAAAATATGTCTACCTCAGAGGTTTGCTTATTAGCAAAAATTTGCTCTACTGGATAAAGTCCTTCAAGATGAGTTTCATAGAAATGTCTTATTTAGCAATAAATAAAAGGACTCTCAAAACCCACTGCCTGCAAAATATCAAGATTAAGGTTCTTCATCTAGAGCATTACTAACTAAAATGTATGGTCAAGTCTGTTTAATTCATTCAACACATAAAACATATATGACATATATTATAAACAGGCAAGTTTCCTATGAACTTCTAATGTGCACTGTACTCAGATGAAAACTACCAAAGCTAAGCACCTTAGATAGACCTCTGGACATCATTTTAAAGGCTTACCCTCATCTCTTAAAGTAAAGCGACCCATCTGAGGGAAGTCTTTAAAGGTCTCAAGGCAGATGGTTCCTGCTGTCCTCAAGCGGGCAATGCACACTTGATCCTGTTTCACAAAACGGGGTCGAGTCTTACTCTTTTCTCCTGATTTCTTGTCTACCAAGCAGATTAAGGCCTATTCAAGAAAAAAGGATGAGATTAGAATAATGCCTAATAAAAGAATCTTTAAGACCAGGAGTGTGAATAATGGCCTTAAAAACCCCAATTATCTTAAAACTCACTGTTATTTCGACTTCTTCAATACAGGTATGAATATGCAGCACCGCATTATAACCTGGGCAGATGATGGACTTGTGCTCTATAATCACTATCTGTCAAACAACAAAAAAAATGATCATCTTTATCCCTAGGTAAAAAAAGAATTGAATGTGTAACTCACAATTTCAGTAGGGCACCAACTTAATTTTGTGTTAGAAGGGATAGGTCAGATTGGGTTACCTCAAAGCATGAATTTTTGATATCTTTTATCCTACTGATCTTGGCAAGTGCCCAAACTTTAAAAACACAAACATACAAGATTTCTTCTCTGGGAAGCCTTTGCTCTATACTCCCCCACCAAGGCATTCACTGCTGCTCACATGCTAGAATTTTCCCTCCTGATACAAACTTAGTTTTATCCATTTCCCAGTATCCAAGCTCCAAAGTTAACAACCTTGTATCTGACAGAAAAATCTAACTTGATTAATCATCATATAACAACTCAAAAATTCTGTGAGTTGTACCAATTACTTACTCTGTCATCCTCCTGGGGAAGTCAGGTTGCTAATAATGTAGAGAAATTAATTGTGTTTTCCTATCTGGAAATTTGCTTGCTCTGAATGAGCAGACAAACCATGACTTCCAAGGCAACTATGCTCTACTTAAAGTGAAAGACACTTTGAGCAAAATATTAAGTATCAATATATATTATCAACAGAAAATAAAAACTAAAAATGCACACTCTCTACCCAGGACTTGTACCATCAAAGACCGGATGGGTATGAGATGCACATCACAGCTGTTGTGATCTCTGTATATGGTTTGTCCTATTTTAGTTCCCCTTCTGCACACAAAGGCATATCGCCAATAATCAGGACAAATGGCATTTAAATCCTAGTCTCATTGTGACAGTAAAGATCATCATGATAACCACAATATCTGGTTTACCTGGGCATCAAATGTGCGACCAGAATGACAAAGATTATTAGGATCACAAAGTATGAACCCTGGAAGAATCTCCTCCTCTTCAATTCCTTTCAGCCTGATTTTGAGGTTTTCACCTGGGGCTACAGAATCGGTTTCCACATCATCGGAAAGGATTCCAAGAACTTCCACGTTGTGCTTAAAAGAAACCAAGATTGGAAAACTTTTGATACATTCACTACATTATAGAATGGAAAATGATCTGTTTGCTGAAGACTTGCAAGTCACATTTTTCTGTGGTTGTTGATTAGCCAAAATAATTCTTTTGAGTTTAAAACTTTGTAACATTTGTATAACAGGAACTTAATGAAAATCATATCCTTGAATTATAAGCTGCCAATTAAAAGATTTATCTGTCATCTTTTTAATATCACATCCTAATAATTTCCAAACAGAACATCTGCCTTTTTTACTTTTTTAAAATTAAAACATAAATCATTTTAGTTTTATAGATATAACTTTTATTATTCTTAAATTTCAGGAGTTAAGAGACATAGCTTCTATTACCTATCAATCCCCAAACATCTGAAGAATATATTTTTCTAAGGTTATTTGAACAACTAAGCTTTAAAAGCACACTGACTGTTTAATAGGTGGAGGGTTTCCTTCTAGGGTGATGAAAATGTTTTGGAACTGGACGTGGTGATGGTTGCACAATACTGTGAATGTACAAAATGTCAATAGTGGTAAAATTTGTCTTTTACTACAATAATTTTTTTTTTAAAGCATATAGATGGGGACATATAGAGACATTACTTTGCCAACAAAGGTCTGTCTAGTCAAGGCTATGGCTTTTCCAGTAGTCGTATATGGATGTGAGAGTGGACTATAAAGAAAGCTGAGCGCTGAAGAATTGATGCTTTTGAACTGTGGTGTTGGAGAAGAGTCTTGAGAGTCCCATGGACTGCAAGGAGATCCAACCAGTCCATCCTAAAGGAGATCAGTCCTGGGTGTTCATTGGAAGGACTGATGTTGAAGCTGAAAACTCCAATACTCTGGTCACCTGATGCAAAGAGCTGACTCACTGGAAAAGACCCCGATGCTGGGAAAGATTGAGGGCAGGAGGAAAAGGGGACAGAGGATGAGATGGTTGGATGGCATCACCAACTCAATAGACATGGGTTGGGGTGGACTCTGGGAGTTGGTGATGGACAGGGAGGCCTGGGGTGCTGCAATTCATGGGGTCGCAAAGAGTCGGACACAACCGAGTGACTGAACTGATACTGACAGATGGGGAAAAATGTTAAAACAATACCCACAAAGTAGTCCCTTATTTTACTCCATTTCCTCCCTTGGAGATAATTCATATTTTTAAAACACATGCCAGAGAACAAAACAATAACCTTCCAGACAAAATTAACTTTCTCATTGGATGGTAGATAAACAGTAGAGAATCCAGAATCATTGTATTCCATACCAGAATTCTACAAACTGTCATTTGCTTAACTCCAGTAGTTTCTCCCCCACACACATACACAAATAATGGCTTTCTTTCCCAAAAGGTAGCTTATACCTTACTGACACCCGTCTTAAAATTCATTTCCAAAACTGGTAGTACAGCCATATTTGCTAGCAAATTCTTTAGAGTAATGGAATAAAGAGGTAGAAACTGGCAATTCCATCATATATAACCAAACAAGTATGTTTACTACTTTTTCCCAAATAATCCAATGTAACAATTCCTTTCCCTAAATGAAGTCTTTTATAACTAAACAAAGAGAGCAAGAAAAATCTATGATCCATACTTATAAAAAATTAAGATTAATTTTTTAATTACTTTCTGAGTGGCAGTAAAGATTTTACCTACTCAAAGTACTTCACAAAAGTGGAGAGTCCTACATGACTTAGTATGTCTGACTGGCTGGCCTGTTTCACTGAGTAGTAATGCCCCCAGGTCCACCCATGCTGCAGCCTGTGTTGGAACACCCTCCTTTCTGAGTGACGTGCCCTTTTATGTACACACCCTGTTTGTCTGCTCCTGCTTCCACGTGTTGGGTGCTGTGAACATTGGTTCTTCAAGGTCTGTTTTCAGCTTTTAAGGGTATATACTCAGATGTGGAACTGCTGGATCATGACTATTCTATTTTTATTATTATTTTTGTTTTTGAAGAAATGCCATTAAGTTTTCCACAGCAGCTGCACAATTTTACGTTCCTACCAACAATGCAGAAAGAGTTCCAAATCACTACATCCTCACCAGCATTTGTTATTTTCTGTTTGTTTGTTTTTTTTTTAAAACAGCCATCGAGATGGCTGTGAGGTATTATCTCACTGTAACTTTGATTTGCATTTCCCTAATGATTAGTGATGTTGAGCTTCTTTTCATGTGTTTGTTGGCCATTTGTTCATCTTTGGAGAAATGCCTGCTTTAAGTTCTTTGCTAATTTTTTAGTCAGGTTCTTTCTGTTTATTGTTGAGTTGTAGGAGTTCTTGATATATTATGGATAGTAACCCCTTTATCAGATTTATGATATATAATTTCTTACCCCCAATCTGTAGGTTGCCTACCTATAGTTTTTTAATGTAAAATAGCCTTACATCTGGGCTTCCCTGGTTGCTCAGACAGTAAAGAATCAGCCTGCAATGCAGTCGACCTGGGTTCAGTCCCTGGGTTGGCAAGATACCCTGGAGAAGGAAATGGCAACCCACTCCAGTATTCTTGCCTGGAGAATCCCATGGAGAGAGGAGCCTGGCGGGCTACAGTTCATGGGGTCACAAGAGTAGGACACAACTTAGCGACTACCACAACCACCAATGTTGGATTTAAAAAGTGGTTTCAAAAACAACAACAACAACAACAAAAAAGTGGTTTCTTTTAATGAAATCCCTAAGACTGAAAAGTTCTGATTCCTTACTAATACTTTTCAAGAGAAAATTTAAATGAACTAGAGCATTGTGAATTCTTACCTTGTTTGGCATCATCACAAGCTGCTGGCCTTTACAAATAGATCCTGATTCCAGCTTTCCCAGGACCACAGTGCCCATATCCTATTTAAATTGAAAGTAAAAAACCAAATGTCAGACTTCTGTTACTACTATACAGGAGTTAACAACCTAAAGTGAAATCTTGCAAGGCTTATTCAGAAAAGAAAATCTTTAGCTCAAGTGGTAGAATGCTTAGGATTAATCTTAGACACAGGCAATAAATACTCTGTGTCAAAAGCACACACATATATATAATACTAATAAGTAAGTATGCCTAGGATTTAAAAAGAAAACACACTGCAGGAGACAGAATTTTATGTCTGAAGATCTAAATTTCTTGTTCAAACTGAGGTTCTCTTAAAACTGTCTGAGATGTTCCCTATTTAAAAACTACATGTTCAAGAACTTTAGCATGAAGCTAATGAAATAATGATGTATTTGGAAAAAAGCAAAATACTACATATTGATAGTGCAGTACTTAAAAAAGTGAAGCTGAAAACATAGTTAAAAATAGTGAAGCTTATTATTTTTTTCTTTATTTGAAGCTTAGTTTTTAAAGACTAACATCCAGTGTTGGTTAGGCTATGGTAAACATGTTCATATACTTCTCGTGGTTATGTGAATTAGCACTGTATTTTGGAAGGCTATTTGTCAGTATCTATCAACTTTAATGTACAAACTCTTTCAGCAGTTTTACGTATAAGAATCTCTCACCAAAAAATGATCACTGGCTCACAGAAAAACAGCCAAAATAAACTAAACTGATTTATTTCACAGTTTGAAACAGAACACAAAATAATTTGTCACCTCCCATAAAACCCAATTTCTTGAACATTTTGGGTACCTTGTACTTATCCACAATTGGCAGCCTGATTGGTCCATCAACTGATCTACTGAAGTTTGGCAAATTATCCAGATATGGAATAAATGGTAATCCACTGAGAATATAATAAAATTAAAGAGTCAATATAAATGTTAAAATTTTAAGAAATTACATGGTTCTAACTTTATCTAGTTCATCTCACTTATTCCTCAGAAATATTTTCTAAAAAAATAAAATAGATCAATATAATGAAAAAGCTTCCCTGTAAAGTTATAAAAATATTTAATGGCAAATAACCCACATGTTGTAATAAACTGAAGCCACTCTATATAACTTAATTTTTTATGGACTTTTTGCAGCTCTGAAATCAAGATTCTATAGTTTCCCCTTTAAAACTACAGTATGTGAATTGGGAGGTTTAATATTGTCAAGATCGCAATGTTCCCCCCAAACTGATCTACAAATTCAGTGCAGTTCTTATTAAAGTCCCACTGCCTTTTTGCAGAAATTTGACCAGCTGATCCTAATGTTCATATGGAAATTCAAGGGACACAAAAAGGCAAAATATTCTTGGGGCACGGGGGGTTGGGGAATAAAAGTCAAAGACTCACATTTCCCAATTTAAATACAAAGCTGATGAAGTATTCAAGACTTTTACCTTATAAAAAATTAATGCAAAAATGAAACACACACCTAAGAGCTTCAATAGGCTTAAATGAAAATAACAGGTCTAACTCTTTCTGACTGGATTGGGCAACAATTCCCTAGGCATGACACCAAAAGCACAATTAAGAGAAAAAATAAATAAGACTTCATCAAAATTAAGACCTTTTTGTACTTCAAAGGACACTATGAAGAAGGTAAAAGGATAGCCCACAGAATGAGAGAAAATGCTTGCAAATCATGTCTCTGATAAAATTGTACCCAGTGCATAAAGTACCCTAACAACTCAGTAACAAAAAGAAAACCCAGTTAAAAGACAAAGGTCATGACATTTTTAAAGCCAAGGTTACACTCAATATTTTCTTAAATTACTGGGCTTCCTGGGTAGCTCAGCCCATGAAGAATCTGCCTGCAATGCAAGAGACCCTGGTTTGGTCCCTGGGTGGGGAAGATCCCCTGGAGAAGGGAAAGGTTACCCGCTCCAGTACTCTTGCCTGGAGAATCCCAGGGACAGAGGAGCCTGGCGGGCTATGGTCCACGGGGTCGTAAAGAGTCAGACATGACTGAGCGACTAACACACATAAACACACTGGGCCTTCCCTAGTGATCCAGAGGGCGTGGATTCGATCCCTAGTCAGGGAAATAAGATCCCACATGCTGTGTGGCCAAAAAATTAATTAAAAAAAATTACTTAATAAGACACAAACTTTTAAAAGGTTACTTACATGTACCAAGGGCAGAAATCTGATTGCTCCTTAAGATTTGCTCCTGTCAGTCCTGAGCATGGCATGAAGTGGATGTCCTTTTTGGGATTAAAGCCAACTTTTTTCAAAAACGGCACCAGTTTCTCTTTACATTCTTCATATCTATTAATATTTATAAATAACTCAATTATAATGTAAAGCAACTGAACTCTATAGTTTCAACACTAAACAAAGTATCTATGAGAAAGCAGTAAGACATCCAAACTTACCTCTCATTGCTCCAATTTACTGTTGGATCATCCATCTTATTAATAAGCACAATTAAGTGTTTTACACCTGCTGTCTTTGCCAACATTGCATGTTCTCTTGTCTGTCCTCCTTTTTCAAATCCAGTTTCAAACTCTCCTTTCCTGGCAGAGATTACCTGTTCCAAGAAATCAATAGTTTATTCTTACACATTCAAGTACACTCTTCTAGCAATACAATATTTTTCTTTTCAGTTTTATAAGAAGTATCTTGCCTATGGTTGTGATTAAAAAAATAAATAAATAAATAAATTAAAAAAAAAAAAAAAAAAAGAAGTATCTTGCAAGAAAATAGAAGTGAGTGAGTCAGTCATTCAGTATGTCCAACTCTTTGTGACCCCATAGCCTGACAGGCTCCTCTGTCCATGGGATTCTGTAGGCAAAAATACTGGAGTGGGCTGCCTTCTCCAGGGGATCTTCCTGACCCAGGGATTGAACCTGGGTCTCCTGCATTGCAGGTAGATTCTTTTATTGCCTGAGCATATATATACTTTTGAATGTCACAATGTCTAAATACTTTAAAATTTTGGTATGTTTCTTCTCATTCCCAATTCTCCAAAATCTAGTACGCCTTTATATTTTACATTTCAAACATATATGTGATTTACTGCTAGTATAATAACTACCCCCCAAGTTGCAAAATGACTGAAGATCTTAAACAGATAATTTCTTACTCGTTTTTGTACTCACAGGATTAAGTACAAAATGGATTAGGTTTAGCAGGCAGTGGACACTAATTTCTGACACAGTAACAGACAATAGCAATGGTAGAGAAAAGCAGAAACATTTTTATAAGTAAATCAAATTAGGAAGATTTCTTGGGCAGATTATTGAAACAAAGTGAAAATTGTGACTTTGTATATTTTACAGTTCACTGTAATCTAAATTCTAGCTTTTGGAAGGTAAATCCAAGTGTTTACATTTCAAGTTGGGCTGCTAATAAATACAGGGATGAATTGGAAACATCTTTCCTTACCAGGACAGCCAAATCAGCTTGAGAAGCACCACCAATCATATTTGGGACAAAACTCTTGTGGCCAGGGGCATCTAGAATTGTAAAATGCTTCTTATCCGTTTCAAAATAGGCACGACCCACTTCTACTGTTTTACCCTTGTCTCTTTCTTCCTGATTTGTGTCTAAGGCCCAAGATAAGTACCTGAAATAATTTTAAAATAACAATACTGGTAAGAACATGAGTTTTAAAAATATTCTTCTACCATTAAATGTGTAATTAATGGTAGAATTTTGTGTTCAACATACATTTAAATCATGAACAGGACTGGGTAGAAATAAAAGTTAAATGACTAAAACTTATATTCTTCTGATTCAAACACTCAAGAGCTTTTATATATATCCAGTGTCAATTATACATTCTGTAAGCAAATATTATGTATAATAACAAGATGACAACATACAAAGAAAGACTGTTTAGTACCAGTGCCAATATCACTATGAGTTAAGTAATGAGTTCCTTTATATTTCATTTTAAAAATCATCTAGCACAAAGTATAATACAAATAAGGCTGTCTAAGGGTACCTTTCAAAAGTGAAGGCCACCACCCACCATTTGGGAACAATGGTTACTTGCTAAAAATTATTTTGCTATTTCTTTGCCATATAAAAATTACATATATAAATTCGAACCATCCTTAACAGTGTTTACTGTTTACCTACCTCATCACATCATCTGTATTTCATAGTAAGTAATCCATTTTTTAGTATTATATTAATTAGGAACTTTTCCCCTTAACACAGAAATACAATTAAAGGAAAAAAAAAAAAAAAGACCACCAATGTCCTATTGAGATAAAGCTTGTTAACTTAAGAAAAGATAAGGTTAGAAAGAAGAAAAGAGCTGACCCTCTCTCCATGCAAATGCAACTATTGTCAATATATTATTCCATCTATTCTTTTTTTTTTTCAATTGTTTACTCACATAATGATCATACCCTTAAGTACTATTATGTTATCTGCTTTCTCCCCAAATTCCACTGTAACATCTATTCTTGATTATTATAAATTCTGTGAATGAAACTGTGTGGCCAGGTAATGTCTCAATTAAGATGCTTTATAATTTATCCCACGAGTCTCCTCTCATGAATTTATGTTAGTAGACTACAAAAGCATTAAATAAGTAGTTTCCTGAAAAGTAACTAGTGTCATAAAAGTTTACCAAGTTTCTCTGTTTTTTTCTTTAGCTTCTCTTTCATATTTCTCAAGTGTCCTTTTGTCAACCATTCCAGTCAAATACCTGGAAACGTTGAAAGAAAAGAGAAACAGACATTTAATTACTCATGAATTGCTCAGTTGTGAAGTTAGGAAATCTTTAAAGCTCTCGAAGGGAATCTGAACTCCATAAAAAAGCTACTTTAAAGTACAAGTGCCACTGGGGTAGATGCTGAAATCATGGAAAATTTCAGTGGAAAAGACATTTACAGTCTCAGATTACCTCCCCCAAGATAATGGGAAAAAAAATAACTCTACAGTGCCGAATTCTGGCAGCAGACACCTTAACCAAGTAATCATGGCTATTATCACCAGTAATAGATAAAACATACTGAATATTGCGATCATCTGCGTTCTCATAAGAGCACAACATACCTTCTGAGGTAGTCTTTTCCAAAACAAATACCCTCAATCTAATTATTAACATTGTCAAACCCAAATTGAAGAACATCCGATAAAATAACCAAATGGCACTCTTCAAATTATGAAGGTCATGAAAGACAAGACTGAGGAAATGTCACACCTTGGAGGAGACTAAAGGGACATAACAACTAAGTGTAATGTGAAATTCTAGAACAGAAAAAATGATACTGGTTGAAAAACTGGTGAAATTCAAATGAGATCTGCAGTTTAGTTAGTTTGTACCAGTGATAACTTGCTAGTTGGGATGATTATACAATGGTTATTTAGTAGGGTAACATTAAGGTAGGCTGCATAAATTGTCTAACAATTCCACTACTGTTTTTGGAACCGTCCCATAAGTCTAAAATTATTTTAAAATAAATGTTTTTTTTAAAAAGCAAATGTAAATACTAACATAAAAGAAAGGAATTCTAAGTGCTATCCAAGCAATTAAGTCTTACTATTTAATATTTAAAACATACTAGTCAAAATGAGATTGTAATTTTAAAATAATTCCTTAGTAAAACCTAACTGCTTCCCTTGACTCCATCCAAATTAAATCCTGTTCTAAGCTTCTGTCTCTGGGTGTTCTCAATAGTCATCTATAGTGCGTATTTCTAACCATTTTGGTATAGAATCTTTGTGAAACGTCAATGAAAATTCCAGCCCATAATAAAAAAATATACACTCTCCTAAAACACAACATCAAATTGGCCTGCCACTTCTTTCCATAGAGTCTAAGGTAAGAATTCCTGTATAATAGCCTGCTTTACGGTCTGTTGTAGAAATTTTCAGCAGTAACTGGCAAAGTTACTGATTAAGGTTACTTAACAAAGCAAGACAATGAAGATATGCCCTCTAGACCCTCTGTTATCCTTTAAGATATCAGCTTAAAGAAATGAGTCTACTTTAGGAGAGATTAAAAAGATGTTTTAATTAAAATATCTTTCAATTCTAGAACACATCACTAAACATCAACCATGGCATTTTCATTCCTAGATACAGTCTATATATGATGGAAAAAAAAAATCATGTTAACCAGACACTCTGATTAAATCCACATATATTCAAGGAGTTGATGAATAAGGAAACACCAGTTCCCCCAGATTCATTATTCCCAAGAAAATTACATTTAAAACAAAGTAAAATTTCTTATAATCTAGGATTCTATATTACTTTTTGTTAACAAACCTAAAAGACAGCTTTTAGAAATATATTTAATTAAGGTTTCACGAGTCTTATAGTGATAACAAAAGGTATTTAACAAAAAATATACTTACATTATTTGTCCTCCAATGGTTGACTTGCCAGCATCTAAAAGTAACAACATGATCAACAACAGGCAAACCACAGGTGTAGTCAAACCAAAACACAAGGACTATATAGGAACACAACCAAAGGCCCATTTAACATACCTAATTACAGCTTGCAAAAATGACTGCAAAGAATAGAATCTGGGTCCGAAGTTCTGGTTAGTTAACCTTCTGTCTTTGAATCTGAGAACGCCCTGCAGCTTTATAGTGACTAGGACTATTTTCCTGATAATATGAATTACCCAAGGGGAGCCTCAGAAGAACAAAAGTAGCCAAGACCCCTGAACTACATTTAGGTAGTCTGCTTTGCACTTTTAGCCAATACAGGTGTTCCTTTACACATTTCAAAGGAGTTCTTGCTACTAGAAAAAAAGCAGAATGGTGTATCATCAAATTCAAGAGAAGGCGGAGATAAGAGAAAGGAAAGACAAAGGGGCACATAATTCTTGTTATTTTCTTCTCACACAAAAAAATAGGCTTTAAAAAAAAATATTAACTAACAGATGTTATAACATGCTGAGCCATCACCAATGGCCTACAGACCAATTATGTATCACATACAAATATACTTATTTTCTTCCAGCTACCATGCTACCACAACTTCCAAGAATACACTGCTGGCAATGTTCTGCCAGCTAAAAAAATCTACTGAGTTAAAAATCAAGACATTTTAGATAAATTTAGTTCAGTTTCACTAAATACTTCAAGTAGCTAAATAAGATATTCTCTGTCTGATGGATTCAATAACTTTGGTCATTTCTTATCATTGCTACAAGTACCACTTACCTACATGCCCAATGAATACTACATTTACGTGTTCTTTCTTAGGAGCACCTGGCGGTGCAACCACAGATTTAGGTTTTGGTATTTCCTCTTCCTCCTCCATCATTTCCTGGGCACTTTCCTCTGTGGGCCTTCCATCTCCCAAGGAACCACCATCTGGCTCTGCTTCACTTATTTCTTCTTTATGCTCCCATGATTCTTCGGGGGACATCTCTGTCTCCCCATTTTCCACTGAAATAAAACAGTTTAGTATTCTGAAAAAGGTTTATCATCTATCTATACATTAAAACACAGATGCTTTTAAACAACCAACAGAACTTAACATGCAGTTCCATATCCTAACATCTAGTGGCACACCAGCAAGAAAATCTCTTTCAACAGAAACAGACAAGCTGGCCTCACAGGCGACATCAGAGTTCTGACTCAGATTAGGAGAGACTATTTTAATGGAGCTTCATCTTCATAAGGACGAACAAAATATGAACAGGACATCTAACACTCCTAGCAGCCCGATTATTCTGGCATCGAGATGTCCTAACGGTAGAAAAGGGGAAGTTCAAAATCAGAATATAGAAAAGTGTGAAAAGATTTAGATTTCTGTTTTTCCTTTGGAAGTAGTATAACTTCAGTATCAATGTTATTAAACACCTTGGGAAAATGACACCCTTAAGAAAGTTACAAAAAAGAAAATTTTCACAAATGTAAATTAAGTACACCTATTCAAACTGATTTAGCATTTCCTCCATTTGATTCTTTTATATTTGCCATCACTAAGTTTATCATGGCAGTGTTAATGCCCCATTAGCTCTGTTTGCTAAATCCTAATGGCAAAGACTCAGTTTTCAATGTAGTTTTTTAAAATGTAGGCATTATAATAATCATAATACTTATTTGTACCTTAAATCTTGAGACTGAAAGAGTTTCATATTACTGTATTAATATGGTCAGAAATTTTCTTACCAATAGGTTCTGAAAGTTCCATGCTAACAGTTGAATTTGAACCTAGACAAGAAATTGAGATATAATATATATTTACAAAACACTATCTAGATTTACACACCACAATTTAATGCTTTCTCAATTGGTTGTTCAAAGAGTCACATCATAGAAAATTACCTTCACACAACAATGACTGTTCCTCTTGAGAAGACTCCACAGGTGCTGTTTAACAGAAATAAGGTCTATTAAAAATTGAGACCTATACATCCATTTTACTTATCTTTTAAGAAACAGGATAACAAAAAAAAAAAAAAGAAAGAAAGAAACAGGAAAAACAGAAGTTCAATAACAAAGCAAAAACCTCAATAATTCAGAACAATGACAACTAACACAAGCTTTCAAATTACAAATCTGTTTAACCTAAAAAAAAATCTACCAATTACAGCTAGTTTTAAAACATTTTCAGTAATTGAAATGTATTCACAAAAGCATGTCTATTCTGACTCTACTTCATAAACTTTTCCTTTATAGATACTGTAAGTGTAACCTGCAGCCCAGCACAGATCAAGTTAGATTTTACTCAACAAATACACATTACTACTCTAGATTCTCTAGCCCAAGAAGCAATGATTAGTCCTTGTTAAGATTCTATAATACATGTTATCATCAAGATCCTTAAATAAATTCTATTCAATACCAATAAAATGAAAAGGACATTCGTGTATAGTCTCTGGAATGCATCCAGGCCCTTACATCATCTCAGAAAAAGTGGTTATAATGATGCTAGTTTTGTCCTAGAATTAGAATTCTAAGGTCAAGCAATAACCCACTTTCCACAACTATCACATTACAAACTTTATGACACCACTGGAAGAGATGTATGTGAAATATACACTAATACCCCAATCCATACGTTTACTTTTTATACTAAATACTCCAGTACCTAAGTACTCTTGCTTTAAAGAATCTACAAGAGGCAAAAAGACATCAGAGAATTTGAAGTCACATGAATCCTGCACACTAATAAAGAACAGTGAATTCTTAACCTGCAAGACTCACATTTAAAATCAGTGTCCACTGTTGGTGGGAATGCAAATTAGTACAGCCACTATGGAAAACAGTGTGGAGATTTCTTAAAAAGCTGGAAATAGAACTGCCATATGACCCAGCAATCCCACTTCTGGGCATACACACCGAGGAAACCAGATCTGAAAGAGACACGTGCACCCCAGTGTTCATCGCAGCACTGTTTATAATAGCCAGGACATGGAAGCAACCTAGATGCCCATCAGCAGACGAATGGATGAGGAAGCTGTGGTACATACACACCATGGAATATTACTCAGCCATTAAAAAGAATTCATTTGAATCAGTTCTAATGAGATGGATGAAACTGGAGCCCATTATACAGAGCGAAGTAAGCCAGAAAGATAAAGACCATTACAGTATACTAACACATATATATGGAATTTAGAAAGATGGTAACGATAACCCTATATGCAAAACAGAAAAAGAGACTCCGATGTATAGAACAGACTTGTGGACTCTGGGAGAAGGCGAGGGTGGGATGTTTCAAGAGAACAGCATCGAAACACGTATATTATCTAGGGTGAAACAGATCACCAGCCCAGGTTGGGTGCATGAGACAAGTGCTCGGGCCTGGTGCACTGGGAAGACCCAGAGGGATCGGATGGAGAGGGAGGTGGGAGGGGGGACCGGGATGGGGAATACATGTAAATCCATGGCTAATTCATTTCAATGTATGACAAAACCCACTGCAATGATGTAAAGTAATTAGCCTCCAACTAATAAAAATAAATGGAAAAAAAAAAAATCAGTGTCCAATCTGCCTCCTTAGCACAGTAGGCAGCACATCAGTCTCATAAAATCAGTGCCCAGGAAGTATTAACACCCGTAAGTCAACAAAAAGCTTGGGGCCCGCACTCCAATAACATGAAGTGCTGAAGAAAGCAATTCCTGAGAGTTCCCTGGTGGCCTATTAGGATTCCAGGCTTTCACTGCCACAGCCCTGGGTTCAGTCTCTGCTCAGGGAACTGAGACTACATAAGCCACATGGCATGGCCAAAAAAAGAAAAGAAGGAAAGAAAGAAATTCCTGTCCCTGAAAGGTCACAGGCAACCAATTTTTTCTGAGGAAGGAAGTGACATGCCAAGTGTGACTTGGGGAGATCATTCTATGGTAGTATATAGATGAACCAGAGAGGTAACGACACTACAAGTCAGAAAGACCAACAACACTACTTACAAGAAAGTATGCCATCAGGACACATGAGTGGTGCAACCAGAGAAGGAGGTCAGTGCAAAGATAAAAGAAGCAAAGATCTGACAGAAGCAGGGAAGGAGAACGAAAAGTCTAAGATGACTCCACCCTATGTGCAGGGTATTTTAATAGGAACTGGGGTGGGGAAATCCTTTGAACTCAGTCCACAAAGTAAAAGGAATTGTACTTGAGATACTATATAGATTTTTGTTTGTTTTCCTCTTAAGAAAAGTTTATAGGTAAGATAAGGAAAAAATTACTCAATTTTCAGAAAAAGTCAAGTTCATACACCACCCTAGGGATGGAAGAGGCGGCACAGGGCAGTAGCAAAAGACAGAACTGAGCTGATTCCTGGCTTGAAATCCTGGCTTGTCATTTGTTAGTTTCAGATACAATTATTTCACTGGAGTCATGAAGATGACATGCCATCTGCCAGACAGGATTAAAGAGTAATTTGTTTAGTTATCAAATAACTTGTGGCACCTCGATATTCAACAAATGAGTCTCCACCTCCTAACATGACTGAGTATCAATAACATGTACTGAGTGTCTATTATGGTCTAGACAGGGATTAAGAAGCACTCCCCAATCCATACAGTGCTGAAGGGAGGGAGAGAGTTGGTGGCAAATTACCCTAATTCCAATTAACCTTTATTGAGCCCTTATATGCTAACTGCTGTCTCCTCTAATTCCCCTGAAAACCCTATGGAATAGACAACTACCATCTACCATTCAGATGGTATCAGACTCAAGGAGGCTCTTTCAAGTTATAGAAGTACCATCCTGCCCTTCCTCAGATGGCCCCAGGTGAAAATCACTCAAAAAAAGTGAACCGAGTAAATGATGATGTACGTATGTTCTAAGGCAGAAAAAGACTAAGATAACTGGTATAGTAGACTCTCCTGTCACTTAGTAAAATAACCCAAACTGCAACTGAGCTTTATAAAATGAAATAGTACATATACCCAACCACCTAGTTCTAGAACCAACTGTTAAACTTACAAATACACATCATATGCATTAGGCTGTAAGGCACTTCTCCTGACAGTGACATCAGTCATGAGTTCACCCCCATGGGTGCATAATGCAAAATCTGTTCATGGTTTTATTTTTTTAAGGTATCTTACTTTTACTGAACGTTTGTTTATAAAGCTTAGAGACAAAGTACCAAAAGCAATCAAGTGCTTAATATACACCTAATGATATGCATTCAGACCACGGAAGATGTTATAAACTTATTGGTAATGCTAGTGACATTTGCAAACTGATGTTTTGGGAATTAACGAAGCAGAAAAATCACATATAACAAGATGTTCCTTAAATTTAAGCTTCTCAATATTGTTGTACCCAGGCTTTACACATTCATGCAAGCCCTTCTTGTTCATTTTACTCTGGTCTGATTCACAATGCACATCACATCCAGATTTTACTGCCACTATTAATCCTGGGCTTAGAATTCTAGTAGACCTAAAGTCATTTGTTCATGGTTAGCAAACAGGATTATTAGCACTTGATTTCTCAAGTCTTGCACAGTTCATACCTATCAGTGAAAGAAGAAAAACCTCCCCAGGAATGAAATCATGGTTTCATATATTTCAATGGTATCTCCATGTTCAGACACACATTCTTATTCGAAGTATTCGAAGGGATAATTCTAATAAAGTAGGAAAGTTATCAGAGTGTACAAGTGATTAAAACTGCCACACCCTAAGTTAAAAGGAGAAACTAATAATTGTGGTGAAATTTTACAGTTTTTAAAACAAGATTTTACCAAAAGGCAGCCAGGCAATAATACTGCCTGCTGTTTTAACACAGATGATAATCTGGGTCTTAAAAACTGCTAGTTAAATATGATCATGGTGAAATAAGCCAATCATGAAAGGTCACATGTTCTACCATTCCACTTCCATGAAATATTCAGAATAGGTAAATCTAGAGAGGCAGAAAGCAGATTGGTGGTTACCAGAAGCTGGAAGGAAAGGGGAATTACTGGAAGGGGGGGCGAAAATGCT